TTAATCGGTTTTAATGAGTTTAATGGGTTTTAATGAATTTTACTAGGCTTTAAAGAGTAATAATAATACTAATAGTAAAAATACTAATAATAATGAATTTAAAAAAAATGTTACCGTGGGATTTGTGGAGGATTTCTAACGGAAATTTGAACTTTCAAAATTTCCTTGAAAAAACAGCGGTTTTAAAAAAAATTCAAACGAAAAATAAATTATCAGCGGATCTTTGCTTGATTTTTTAACCTGAGTCCAAACAGAAGCTACCCCTGTACAAAACAAGAAACCAAAAATAAATCCACCCCCTGGTATTTGAAGCTTCCGTGATCCACGATCTCTCTTTGGCGGTGACCTCCCTTCACCAGTGGACTCCTCCCCTCCGACTTCTTCTTCCACACAAGTGTTCTCCCCCTCCCTAACCGCTGACTCCCCTTTTTCTTGGTATAAACCAATTTTTCCCATTTTATCCTCTTTCATATGTATGTGTAGATAAAATGTATGTACATGTATGTATGAACCTATGTATGTGTATGTAAAGATGTATGTGTGTGTAAGTTATGTGTATGTAAAGATGTATGTGTATGTAAGTTTTGTATATGTACACAAATTGTTGGGTAAGCCTATATATATATATATATATGTATATATGTATATATATGTATATATGTATATATGTATATATGTATATATGTATATATGTATATATATGTATATATGTATATATGTATATATGTACGTACGATTGGATTCACGTGAGACCAAAGGTTTTTCGTGAGACCCGTAAGACCAATTTATGTTCATTGATCAACTTTATAAGCTAATGATCTAACGGTCTAAAGTTGCACGGTGACAATTTTGTGATTATTGAGAAGTCTCGTGGCAATTTTGTGATTATGAATATTCAGATTGTAGATCTAATCCAAGGGTTGAGAATTGGTCTTACGGGTCTCATGAAAAACCCTGGGTCTCATGAAAAACCCTTGGTCTCACATGATCCCAAGTCTATGTATGTAAATTTTGTATATGTAAATAAATTGTTGGCTAAATTGTTGTATATGTAAATGTTGGGTAAAGTTAGATTTATAAATGTAATGTATTTTGTATTAGAAATGAGTTGCTAATTGTTGGACACACGTTAGACTTGTATTTATAAATGTAATTGTTGTATATTTTGTGTTAGAAATTATATTACAAAATAATTGTTTGTATATTTTGTGTCAGAAATGAGTTTCCATATGTTAGGCAAAAGTTAGATGATGTTTAGATCCTTCAAATTTATATACACTTTTGGATTCAAACTGTTTTTTGACTTAACTCAGAAGAGCAAATTGGTGATGTTTTATTAAAACTCCATTACACATTTTGGTTTCCAAAACATGTATATATCTTTCTAATTCATTACACCACTTTGCTTTGAATTTTTCAAAACCATGCAAATCCACATGCAAAGTGTTCCTATGATATGTTAAAGCTGTAGGATGTCAGAGATTTTCGAAGTTACAGACAAAACCACAAGGTTTTGAATTAGAACCTGACTTGTCTGATCAATCCTCAGATGATTAATACTAGGTTAATTTTAGTCTTAGTAAACTTTGTCTAGGTGCTTTAAAACTTTATTGTTTGTATGTTTACTTATTTATATGTCACCTTTATGAATTTGCCTACAAAATGTTTGTGTTTGCCTTTTGGTGTGGAATCTTAACATGGTGTTGTATACTTGAATTATTGTTCTATGTTTTATAATGTTATTTTGTAGATTTATTACAATGTCGAGCATTGGCACGAGCGGAGGAGGTAGGGGCAGTCCTAGCCGAGTTATTGATCCTCTAGTAGTTCTTCGACACGACTAGATGAGATGAAGTCTGGAAATGACCACGACATCTTTGCTTCAGAACAACTCCCACATCATAAGAAGAAAATCGGCACTCACGACACAGATTAAGTGTTATATCAACTAATTAATCAAATTCAAGGTTCTTTGTATCAATACTAATGCAATTCATTATATAACTTTGACGACACCCACATCCTCCGTTAGATGAGCCAGATAAACCCTAGGGATATTAGGGCCGCATGTAGGAGTGTTTTCATGATTGAAGTGTGTATATATATATATATATATATATATATATTTGTGTGTGTGCGTGTGTATTTAACTTCTTATATTTTTGGTAGTTTTATTTTGAACTTAAAAATCAACCAACCTTTTATGTATAGTTGTACTACTATTCGGATGAGGCTCGTATATGGGAGGCCTGGTCTGTAAAAAAACTACGATGACGGTTTGAGTGTTGTTAGGAAAAGAGTCGTCATAGAAGCCATAAAGCATTTGATTCCCTATGACAAAAACGATGCTAATAGGGATATGATTGTGTTGTCAAACTTTGCCGCGGTTCGATCTCTTCGTCTCTCTGAGCCAGATGATCGATCACTGGAACACGCCCAACTGGAAGATCTCCGTGGAGGCGCATGTGAATTGATACACCGAGGTGGATGGTGAAATAGCCAAACACATTGGCTGATCAATCTCATTCGCAAATCATTGGTAGAACCTTAAACCGATTACTTTAGTAACTTCATTTTTAACATGTTATAATTAACTAAAAATTGTATTATTTGACATTTGTAGGAAAAATAAACACAAGCAACACCACCTATTGTTGTGGACCTGTTCAATCATACCCATAAGAAGAGGTCGAACTCAGATTTCAGAGTCCTCCTCTTCGGATAGTAGATCGCTAATGGGTTCTGTGACTTCGAGGTGTAGCCAGGTTGTGATAAATATTTTGCATAATTGTTATAATGATTAAGTTTAGAATATCTATATAGTTTAGGTTTAACTTTAAACTTTATAATGGTTTAACTGTAAATCCAAAACTCTATCTTGTTTGGGTTTCCATTTGTTGGGCAAAAGAAATGATTTTTTAAGTTAAAATCTTATTTTATATCACTATCTAGTTTGGGTGGTCATTGTTGGGCAAACATTAGGATTGTTTAGATAAGAGCTTCATATATATCTCTATATAGTGTAGATTGTCATTTGTTGGGCAAACATTATCATTGTTTAAGTTAAAATCTTCGTATATATCCCTATCTAGTTTGGGTTTCCACTAGTTGGATAAAGTTATGATTGTTTTAGTTGGAAACATCTCATTTACAGCCATTATATGCTTTCGAGATTGACTTGTAGTATTTTTTTAAACCACAGAGTGATTATCAAACCAACTCACCCAAGAGTGCGGTGATAATGCCTCCGCCTATCCCCCAGTTGATACATATCCATAGCAGCAGGCGGTTGAGGGAAGCAAGAAAGACTAGTTATTCGTCTTTGGGTACAACCAAGATCCCAATTGCGTCTTGACCGGGTCATCCGCACATGGAAACCTGAGTTTTGCATCGTCTTTTGATGGTCGGATGTGTACCTCTTTTTCCTTTTATGTTTATTTGTTTCATTTATAATTCTTATTAAAGATTCTAACATTTTTTGTACTTGTAGGTTAATGAATTATAAACCCAAGTTCAATGATTGCTCTTTCGAGATGAGATACAGAAGAAGGAGCATGAGGAGCTGATAGAGATGGTGAGGAAGTTTACTCAATCTCAGCAACCCGGTTCCCACCGCCACCGTTGCCGAAGTTTTGATTTTATATATATGAACTCTTGTCAATGAACCGAACAATCATACTTTTCATTGGAACAATTTGTATTTATTTTGTCCAAACAATCGTATTGCGCTTTAATATATGATATTTGGTTTTATGATTTTAGCAGTTTCTTTTATATTTACATGATTTAATGTTCTTAATAATTAAAAACAAGATTTTTTTTTCTGGAACTATGTGGATTAATTACCAACAGATTATCCACCAGTTATTTAATCTAAATATTTAATTTAACTAATTAAGTCGACAAAAATGCAAAGATTAAAAAAATCAATGACGGATTTCCGACGGATGAAATCTACCAGTAGCGGTCAATCCGCCGGAAAGTCCGCCAGAAATAGTGTTTACTCAGCAAAGGTTTTATTGGATGGAAAGTCCACCAAAAATCTGCCAGAAATCATGTTCTACAACAAATTTCCCCCTGGAAAACCCATGTTTAGTAGAGACAGAAATACCACATAGATGGCGTTTGTTTATTAAGAGATGTTGAAGTTTAAAATCTTATTTCACTTCTAATTAATAAAAGGAGGTGTTGAAGTCTGATATCTGAATCAATAAGACTGTTTGTTTTTGTAAATTGAAAAACGTCTAAAGTCTGAAATTTGAATTAATAGTTTGTTTTTGTAAAATCAGGTGCAAAATTTTTGCAAAATTCTCTTGATTTTCATAAAATTCTCATTGCCAAAATTCATCTTAACAATTGTTTAACAGATAGAATATAGTAAGAACCTTTTGGATACCTTTCAGACATCCGATGCTATCAGGAATACTTTCGATGAGTTTGATTCTAGAAAGAACGACACGTTTGATAGAAGATAGATCACCGATAGAAGTTCTTGTTTCACATTAATTTTCTAAGCTAATCTATACGTACAAAAATATTATATATAGACACACACACACACACGCATGCGCGCACACACACACACACACACACACATATATATATATATATATATAGAGAGAGAGAGAGAGAGAGAGAGAGAGAAGGTGGGGTGTGCATTTCACATGGGTGAGAGGAAGAAACAATAGCAAAAAAGAATCAAAGAAAAAGGGAAATAAAAGGAATTAAGATATTAATTTACCTCTTATTTATTTGGATCATATTAAGTGATAAGAGGCTCTAAAAATAATAATAAAAACAAATGGTCTGAATTACAAAAAAATATGAACGTATCAAACATAAGTGATAACTAATAGCTGAAAATGAAAAAACAAACAAGGCCTTAGTGAATAAAATGTTAATACCATTACACTTAGTTAACTCGTAAAGAAACACGGCCTAATTACTCTCGTGGTTTTGAGAACTCACAAGTTTCCAACATTTGCCTTCAACAAAAAAACGTTAGAATGCGCTTTTAAACAACTTCAAACGATATGATACTTTGGAATCACCAAAGCTTCGTATTTTTATCAAACGAAGTGTCGTAAACTCAAAAGTTTGGAAAAATTATTGAAACAACGAGATTATTTCATACTCTTTAGCATGGGTTTCACCTCTATGACATAGAGAACCTTCTCCTCCTAGGCTTATTATGATCTACTTCATCACTGATATTTGAAGTGTCTTTTGATCCCAGCTTAAAAGGGTTTAACTTTCCAAGAGTCTTGGACATTGTTGAGAAGAAAGTAGGCTTCTTTAACTTCTTCAATTTTGGAGATGGCACACCTACTTGTTTCTTCTCAATATTCGATATATACGTCTTCATCCTCAATAATTCAGACCTCAAAGTTTCATTTTCTTTTGCCAACGCCGCATCTGCATGCACCTGAAGCCTCATACTTTGGGCTCCTGGGGTGTTTCGTCCATCGATATCACTTCTTGCCTGTAGCTCATCATAATAGAGCGTGTGTAAAACTATTTGTAATGGAAGCCTTTTGTTTTGGGAAGCGTGTGTTCTTGCTTCGACCGATAGCTTTAGTGGATCCACTGGGTTGCAAACTTTCTCTCGCTCGATTTCATCCAAGTTTGGATGAAGCTAGACATCAAAAGTTCAATCAAAAGTTAGAGTTGATGTCTGCTAATTGTATAATTACCTGGATTTTGACCAATGTGGCAATGAGTATGAAATAATTTTTCTTTAATAAATCAGGAGGTTATGAATTTAATCAAAACCTCAGTAAATTTGTATAACTAAATGAAACCTAGAATTATTACAAGTATTTGACTATTGATTAAATATATTTATACTGTATTATAAAACATTTGAAAAAAAACTCTTAAAAACCATTTTTTATAAATGAAATATTGTTTTTTGATTCATATTACTTAAAACTTCAAGATTACATGTAATTGTACGTAAGTACAACTTATTAAGCTTCATGTTTGAATTCATGTCATTAACTGTAGATAAATATAACTAAACACAGGATAAACTTCTCATTTTGAATATAAAATTTAAAATATAATTAAGATTATTAAGTTCTAACAGAATACTTAGTTATTATTTTTATATAAAATTATATTATTAAACCAAAAAATAACTATTTCATTACTAAATCTAAATTAAATTATAATAAAACTTTGAACTAAAAAAATTACATTATAATATGAGAACTTTTTAATTTTTTTAATTTTTATGATATCTTTAAATTTGTATTTTATAAAAAAAAATTAGTGTTTGCAAAATCATATAAAATATTATTATAAAATCGACAAAGACCAAAAAACTAAAATGAAACATTAAAATTACGATATGTCTCGTTGCATTGCACGGATACCATCCCGGTAATAAAAAACGTGCCCAGTTAAATGATAAACAGTTTTTCTGATAACCACATTTAAAAATAATAATAAAGCGAGCTCTTAAAATAAACCCAATTTTTTAAATTTCCTTCCTTTTTGAAGAATTATTAAATATTTTTTAAAATATCCAAGAAAAATTGTCTTTGATTTTGTATACTTTGCTTATGGATATCTTGGGGACCAAGTTACCTGGAGGTAGATGTCAATGGCGTGGTAGAGATCGTCATCGACGTCTCGCGCATTTTTGGGCACCAAATTAGCAATTCCTGTGAACTTTGGAATGCTCAATTCAGTAGCCATGGCGATTTTACTGAGGTACACATCAATCGTCTTCGCAACCCTAATCATCGCCGGCGACGGAGCCTCTTTATAATCACCATAATTAAATACCGAAAGGTTCTTTTCCTTCCCCACGAATCCCGTCACGATCCTACTTATACTCTCCATATCACACAATCTCTCTCCGTCAAACGTGTATGACAGGAGGAGCAGATCGTCGACGGTCACTTGGTCTAGGATGGCCGATATCCGCTTCTCCAGCTGCTTCTTGCAATTGTCATTGTTTTCTAGCATGATCGCGGTGCGCAGGAGATAACACAAGAAGTTGATTGAAAAAACCGCTTGTTGACTTTCGACAGGGAATAGAGCGACGATTGACTCTAGAAGATCTCGTTGTTTGATTCTGGAGGAGTCACCGGATACAGGAGATTTTATGCCGTTGACGGAATGGTTCGGGAATGATCTTTTGGCGTAGGTTGTGATTGCACCAGCGATTGCGAGTGCTTTCGTGCCGCGTGATTTCATCAAATCGATGATTCTTTGAAAGAAGGTTATGTGGACCATTGATAATTCTTCTGCCCACCAATTCGACGGTGAACAACTTGGAGAATTGGCCTCGTTACAAGCCTGTAATCAAGTGAAATATGATCCAAGTATTTCATTAGTCTTGTGCAATTTTCTCAACTCAAATACAGCCGGATTCAACTCGGTCTCTCGATTCAATCAAATTACCAAAGATTAATAGAGGTAAATTTATGGAAGATACCTCAGCACTGGCCACTTGAATACATTGATGGACGATATTGAGTTGTTCAGCTATGGGAAGAAGCTGTTGACATGATCTTAAAACTGTAATGGCACCGGAGAGGCTCGTTAAGGCTACTTGGGTAAGGAAGGCATATGTCCTGCTGGCGAGGTTTCCATCACAGTACTGATCAGTCATTTCGAGGTACTCTGCAGCACAGTGCAGGGCTGCTACGTTATTTACAGTGATTTCAACGTCCATACCATAGCAAAACTTTGCTGCTTTCTCGAAGATCTCAGCACCTCCAGGGATATTGGAGAGATTTATCCTTCTCAAATCAGGTTCTTCTGATTCTATAACTAATCTTCTTATGTGGTTACTCTTTGCTAATAACATGAACTGCCATCAAATCCATGAGTGATTAATTAATATACACACATGTACAGAAAGTAATTGTGGGATTCTAGAGATTAACATTATTCCTAATCATAATTCATGTAATTAGAGACTTATGATCATACCTTGTGAAGAGGGAACTCTGCTGCACCAACTTGAACCAATATGTCAGTTGGGATATCTTTAGAGAGAACCCTGAAAATTTTCAAAAGGAAAGAAGAAGAACAATAAGTTTTCGGTAACTTGAAGGTAAAAAGATAATAGCAACCAATTTTGTTTTGGGTATTTGGTACGTTTGAGTTTTGTCGATTACCATTGTCCATTTCTATCCTTTCTGTCGATGTTCTTGCCATGGGTAGCCATTTCACCAATTTGTTCAAAGGAATATGGTTGTGAGGATACGGTGATCATCTCTTGGTCTTTTTTAGTCATATATAGAGGTAGTGATAGACATTGAGACACTGGTACCTGTTGGCCTTTTAACGTACAGTTGCCTTTTATTTTCATAATCGACTTTTCTAACATTCTTGACACGGGATCTGTCTGAGCATTAATTTCTTTTACATTACAGGCATTTTTTTTTGACATGGACGGGGGAGACCCCTACTATTAAGATAAAAAAAAAACCAAAAACGCTAAGGACAAAAGACGCACATTACATGCATATTTTAAGTCTTTTAGTACGGTTTTGCTTAAGGACAAGGGCGAAGCTATTGAGCCCTACTCAGGATCTCGTGCATTCATTCAATTTATTTTTGTAAGTATAATTTTTTTGGTATAAAATATGCATTTGCTAAACTTTACAAGGTGTTCTGGAATATTAGAAAATACGAAGGAATATTAACCAAAAATCCAAAAAGTCATTGTAAATCAACCAAAAAACATTAAAAGTCTCAAAACCAACCAAAGAAACCAAAAAGTCTTGAAATCGCTAAAAATTTAAAAATCCCTCAAAATGGTGAAATTCAACTAAAAAACATCTCGGACGACTTTGCATGCCTTTAATCTACCTTAAAGGTGCATCTGCTTAACAAAAATACTGGATCCGTCACTATGTGATTTTTATTTTGAGTGAACTCTTCCTATCGCAAAAGTGAGTCTCCTATTAACTTTATCATCACATCTACATCAAGTCATCTCTTTTTTTACGTTTCTAATTCATAATATGAATCAGTATACACCTGTTTTAAGTCAAAATCAACGTACATCGAAAATGTAGAAAATAACTTTTGAGGTTAATGGGTGTGAGAAGAATATTAACCTGTAAGGGTGCATTTAGTCTATCCCTTTGAATTAAGGTGTCATTATATTCATCTCTATTTATGTCAGAATCATATCAAATCATGCTTTGAAAATGTTAAAAGTAAGTCTTGATGTAGACATGTATAAAAAAAAATTAGTAGGTATTGATGTATTTAGCCTTCCCCTTTGAAAACACTAGAACCAGGGATCCTCTCCACTAAAAGTCTAAAACACAAAATTCTTCCAACAACACACGGAAAAATAAAACTTTGAAAACAAATACACACATGTTTTAAAGGCTATGAATAATAGACCTTCAAATACAACAACACTTCAATTTAAACAAAAGATTTTGTATTTTTAATGATGGATTTTTTTTATTAACCTGGATATCCAACCCGCAATGCGAGTCGACTAATCCCAAGACGACCACCTGCTTTGCAAATAGCCCGGAGTCATCGCATTTGAACCTCTGTAGCCACAATGAAATTTTTATTCCTCCTTGGATTTGAACCTAGGACCTCCCGGTATTTTTGACATTTGGAGCCAAGTTCAAACCAATCAGACACTACCCTTGTGGTTGATGAATTTTTTTAATAACAACCAAATATTCCATCTAAATTAAAATAATTATTCAAAATTGAAAAGGTGCAACTTTTCACAATAACTTCTCATGTCATGTTCATTACGATGATCAATCTCATGAAAAGACTAAATAGGGTATGAAAGCCGTGCCCAAACGTGTACTTTTCCTATATGAAGCACATTCCTTTTTTATCTTTCCCATCATCCAACTTTCGATACAATGGCTGTATCGCAATAAACAAATGCTAATTGTTTTACATATCTATCAACTATCTCCTACTGCTTTTTCCTCTCAGCTTTACTCCACTTCCACTTGCACTTGCCCTACATAATTGTAGTTGTGAGTTGTGACAGCAAATATGTATCTATGAGCCGGGACCTACCTAATTCTATCTTAGTGGAAAGAAAATTTACGTTTCTGAAATGCGTCATTTTAGTGTTTTTCTATGTCTTAATATTTATTAAAACTATACTTATGAATTATGATAGAAGAATGTTGTGGATGAGCTAGTCCAATGAGCCGTTTACCAAATGCTTATCTGGGTAAGTGTGCTTACTGGGACACTATCACTTACTTACCGGGTAAGATTTTAATCCACTAAAACGGTATCGTATGCAACAATTTACCTGGTAAGCACTAACCGTGGTAAGAGTTGTCGCCCTCACTTACCAGTATAGACTCTCGATCCTTGTCTTCGGTCTTATCGGGTATGATTCTTGGTCCTTGTTATATTCATCTGGTAAAGTAATATAACTTGATAAACACTTGTTCGGATAAACGCTTGATAAATGACTCCTAAGTTGTTGGATTAAAGTGTCTTTCCTGAAAAGACCGTGGGTTCAAATCCTACTTTAAGTAATATACTCGTTCTTTAGATTTTATTTTATAGTTTTAGTGAAAATATTGGAGGAAACGTGGCCCATGGCCGAGCCTATAACCTTTTACTTACAAGCCAAATAATATATTATGATTTTATAAAGAATTTTTATTGGTTTCACACTTATAGTGCAATGACTTCATCGCTTAAATAATGTTTATCAAACATTTAAAAACGGCATCGTATGCAACAATTTATCCGATAAGCATTTATCGTGGTAAGAGTCGTTGTCCTCACTTACCGAGTAAGACTCTTGGTCCTTGTCTTGCTTTTACCGGATAAAATTCTTGGTCATTACCATATTCATCCGATAATGTAATGTCATTTGGTAAGCGTTTACTCAGGTAAACATTTGGTAAACAGCCCACTGTGCATCCATCTAGTAAGCTCAACATGTATACTCTTTCTTTTTGGGATCGTAACATCTTTGACTAATTAAGTTCATGTAATTTAAATCCGTATTTAAATATATTTAAATTGGAAAAAGTTCTTCTTTGTAACACAATGTACACCATCAAGAGGTTTAAACCCGTATCACGCGCTACATGACAAATTTTTCTAGTTGTTTTTTTTGTTAACTCACTACTTATTTGGTAGTAATTGATAACTTTCGATTTTTAGAGTTATTTGTCATTCTTTTTAAATCAATTTTTTTTACCATTTAATACGCATTTGAGCCTTTCACTGCTTCTTTGATCTAAATTGTGCCTAAAAAAGTTCGATTTTGAGTCGGTGCGCCATTACTGTGGCGAACTACAACTTAAAAGATTTTGCAGCATTTTTTTGTTTCCAATTCAATGAAATGAGGAGCAGGTTTGGACTATGGTCAACTCTGGGATTTTCGTGAAAGATGGGGAAGAAGAGACGAAAATGAGGAAGAAGACAACCATGAAAGATCTCTTTCATCTCTCTCCTTCCCCTAAATAATGAGGCTTGAGAATTTATCTTGGAGGATGTTTTTGGACATTGAATAGTAGTCGAAGAAGTTTCATTGTACTCTTATATATCCTTTAAGCGTAGTTGTGGCCACAGCGCCGAATTTCATTTTAATGCAATTTAACTTTGAGTACTTATTCTTTTCTTCCATTATGTCTTCTTTTGTAAGCATTAGCTAACCCCCCCTTGGGTGTGGGTGTAAGCCAAACCCAAGAGATAAAATGTAACACTTGAGTGTTACTATTTTTTGCTAATTTTTTGATTTGGTCATTGAAGTTGAAGCCTTAATTCAACACAGACAAACCAATCACTTGTATGTTTTATCTTTGACCTAGAGATGGCGAATTCGACATACGGCTTGAATGATGCAAGAAAGTTTGAGAAAATCTTCAATAATCACGTAGAAATATGAGTTGTTGCATAATCTTTACTAAGGTTCAGATGTCGGTCGAGTGAATACGTCATAAAGATATTCGCATCTCTCCATACTGGCTGAACTAAGATCTTCGAGATTTACTTAGGTTTGCAAACCAAAAGTTAGTAGTGGTGGTTACTTTGTGATGAGACGGTGACCCCATTTCATACGACCTAGCTTCAAAGGAAGGATATCGTGTAGGGTTACTTTGTGACTGGTTTTGTACACCTTTTTAGTTACTATCATACTCTTGGGAAAAATTTGCACACATACCTGTTTTTTATTACTTGTTATTTTAAATGACCAGATTACTCTAAAAACGATCAAATTTATAAAATCCAACTTTGCACCGAAAGTTTATGGAAATCTTAGATTTTTAGTAAGACCAGTCCTTGTGAATACGTCTTGATACTATAACAATTACATTACTTGAAGGCGGACACAATTAGTTGGTGTGCACTTGCAACACTATTATGCTACATTTGCGTCTGTACATTTTTACTATCAAATTCTTGGCGCCGTTGTCGGGACTAGCGATTTTACATCCTAAGATATTGATTTCCACTTGAGCCCGAGTTACGAGCTTTCTTTAGCGCTTTTCCATGTGGTTTGAGACGAAAACAAGATTAACTTTTGCCTTTAGATCTTGAAACTGAAAGAACCTTTTGGAGACGTCGAAGAGGTAATCAACAACCTCCCATTATTAACACTATGGTGATGTGGGAGAGGGACCAAACCCCAAAAATCAACCACGGTCAGTTCTGTAAAGTACGGTGAAAATTGTCGATGATAAGGATAGAGTAATAGGGGATTACGCTACCTCCGAATTTGATCAGTTAAATTTGGGAAGTCATAGACCCAATATTAGCACATTAAACTTTGAGCTAAAATCTATAATATTCTAAATGATCCAAGCAATAGGTCAATTTGAGATTACCATTGGAAGATCCACAATCTCATTTAAAATCATTTCTAGAAATTACGGACGATTTTAAAATTCAAGGAGTTCCAAATGAAGTCTTACGGCTAATGATGATCTTCACTTTCTCACTAAGGGATAGAGTTAAAACTTGGTAAACTTTCAGTCACCCCATTCTATAGCTACTTGGGTTGATCTCGTTGATTTTTTTAAAGTAATTTCCTCAATGAACAATGTGAAATTCATAAATGAAATTTTATTGTTTTAGCAAGTGAACGACAAAGCAGTATCAGATATTCGGGGGAGATTCAAAGAACATCTTCAGAAGTGCCCGCATCATGTTATCCCTCGTTGCATCCAGTTGGAGGCATTTTATAATGGACTTTCTAACTCTGCTAAGTTGTCCTCAAAGCTACAGTCGGTGGAGCTTTTACCGTAAAGACGTATAATAAGGGGTACGATATTGTTGAGAAGGTTGCCAACAATGAC